TGGCGTTGCCCACCGTGGCAAAGAGTTGTATGGCTCCCCTACCATCTGCTTTCCCCACAAGGCTAAGTCTATTTATTCATTCGCAACTCCTCAGGCAGCGCTCTGCTGTATGTCCAGCTCTTCTCTGCTGCCATGGTCTCGAGCCCCCAGAAGGGCAATCTCTTCTTAGTTCCCGAACCCGTCGTACCCACTGCACGCCTTTCCGTGCGAAAGGCTCCCCCAAACACAATTTGTAACCCCCCGTAGTGTACGGTTAGCGTAACGAGGCACTGCCTCTATTCCTCTTCTGTTTTCTGGGGGAATGCAGAAGTTGCTGGGAACATTCAGAGGTGCTTTAACTAATCCACTTCCTCCAGAGATCACTACCACAGCGGTAACGTCTCGAGACAGCAGAGGCGCCTTCTACTGGGCTACCTACAGCATACTTAGGACTATGTCGTTGTGAACTGGTCCTACAAAGTCCCGTGTAAAGGTAGTATAACCCATTTTGGAATTGAGCCCTCATTTTACACCAATATCTTTTTCGTACAGTGTCTGTCATCAGCAAAACTTACTCGCAGACGCTGCCCCAACGAATAAACAGGTAGGTTGCGCGTCCTTTCTTGACCTTCAGATATCAGTTCTCAGCCTTATTGTACTAGCGCTAGCAACTCCTGACCACTTATACGAACTTGTATATGAACTAAGTTAACTCGGCGCTGCTCTGCGGGTGCAGCCGTCACTTCTTTCGGCCCCATCATTGCGTCGCACGCTGTGTACGGACCACGGCGTTTCCCTCATCGCTGTGTTTGTTCCCTTGGAGGAACTGCTCGAAGGCCTGTCTCTCCAGTCCCTTCTCTCTTTTCATGCCTCTACCATCTCGAAATGTGTGACGTCGTTGATTGCACAAGAAAGAGGTGTACCTCTCAGTATTTGTTCCAGGTTTCTGAGTGCCAAGCTCCCCCGATGCTCTCCTTTGCCGCCTGTCTTTTCTATGCGAGCTGGCAGCTGCACGCCTCCCGAATCTGTCTAGCGCCTATATATGAGTCATTGCGAAACCTTCGCAGCTCGAGAGATGTGAGTGGAGCTTTTTATCTCTTTGTCTGTAAGTATTATATCGTCGCTGCGAAGTTTACCCTTTCATCCCTCATGTCTTTTCTTTTTAAGTTTTCTCATCTCTGCATATAGCCTGTTCCCTTGCAGATATGGGGCAAATATACACGTCAGCGCATGTTCCAGGTTTCTGAGTGCCAAGCTCCCCCGATGCTCTCCTTTGCCGCCTGTCTTTTCTATGCGAGCTGGCAGCTGCACGCCTCCCGAATCTGTCTAGCGCCTATATATGAGTCATTGCGAAACCTTCGCAGCTCGAGAGATGTGAGTGGAGCTTTTTATCTCTTTGTCTGTAAGTATTATATCGTCGCTGCGAAGTTTACCCTTTCATCCCTCATGTCTTTTCTTTTTAAGTTTTCTCATCTCTGCATATAGCCTGTTCCCTTGCAGATATGGGGCAAATATACACGTCAGCGCATGTGGGAAGGCTTGTATTGCACGTTTGCGCTCCAGCTGAAGCCTCTAGCCGTAGCTAGCTCAGCTAGCTGTGCTTCAGCTGCTGCAATCTGTAGACTTGGCTGCTCAGCTAGCTGTACTTCAGCAGCTGCAACCTCCCTAGGTAGCTAGTTCGATGAAGAGGAATCTACGCATCTTTGGGAGAGCTAGAGAACAAGCTTCGATATAACCACCGTTGTGGTACCTCCTATTGATGAGGTTCAAACGCCAATGCATTTGCGGGAACAAAATGCAAGTACATAGGAGCAAAGGACTCCTCCACCGCCCCAGCGTCGAGAAGACTGAGCCGGTGCTAATGCGGCAAGGCTCCCAACCCATACTCACCTCCCTACCATCCGTCAGATCCTGAGTGCAAGAGGGGAAAAGGGCTGAGGTTTTGAAGAAGCTTTGGGGAGAGTTTCTAAGCACGTTCTGTGTTTGTGAAAAACATCACCCTCCTTGCTGCTCACTCCCATGCACCAGACTGCCCCGCTTTGGCATTGGGGTTCGTTGTGTGCAGATCTGCCTATGAACCATGAGGTGCTACCAAGTGTATCGACAGTCTGCAAAGTTAGCGGAGGACCCATATGAGCTGCAATCCAGGCAGAAGATTAAACGTTAGACCTCTTAAAACGTAGCTGGCCTCCTCTCCCGTCGCCGGAAGTTATAGGTACGCCTAAGCGATTGGGACTGTGGAAGAAGAGGGAGCGTGGCACGACTTGCAATGCACCTCGTTGCAACTAATGCTGAGAGGCATCTTCAGATGTAGAGGCAGAAAACTGTCCTTTTGTTGCATGCACTAACACTTCAGGCTACTGCTACACTTCTGCTTATTCGCAGGCTAACTATTAATGCAAGTAAATCTTCATGCACCGATTTCTTATAGAGACCGTGCTACACCAAGGTAAAAGTTACACAGGTGAAAGCACATTGCAGAGCTCCTCTTGTTGCTGGGGATGATTCTTATGATTCAGAAATCAATATGAGTAATAATGTCTTTGTAAATACACCGAAAAAAACCATCAAGTGCAGATAAGTGCGTCTTGAGAGAGCCGTACAGAACCTGCATAGGCGAACAGACTCGAAGGTGGAAGGCGGCTACAAAGATTAACAAAACAAATTTTCACTGAAACAGTAAGAGAAATAGAAACATTTCTATTTGATTAAGCTGAAGCTTTTTAATATGAATATCTATGAATTTCTTAAAGTGCACGCAGTCTTGTCAGCCCCAGAAGATGAATGACAGCCACCGATGCTTCACTTGTATTGCATAGAAGCGCATTATTGATGAATATTCGTCAAATTAAAGTTAATTCTCCTTTTAAATATTTTTCTTTTATTTATTTTGATTTATTTTCGCTCAATTTGAGGCTCGTCGTTGCAACGCCCTGCAATTCATCTGCTGCCGCCCCACGGGCATTCCTAAACAGAGAACGAAATTCCTACTGAGTCTTCCTGGTGAACAGCAGGCAAAGGCCTCTTTAAACCAATTAATCTTTGAACATAAGGGGTATTTATGAAGGAAATGCATCTTTTTCCATCACAAAAACAGCAGATCGTCTTACCGGTTGGCCGTTCTGGCGTTGTCTGTCGACCGAGCCATACAGGTTCCAGCAGCAGCTGGTTGTATGCCTTTGAGGCTTATTCAATATAAAAATCACGTTTATTTTGTTGTATTACGTCGTATCCTTTAAGCTATTTCATCGGCAGTGCCCATTGCATTAATAATAGACTGTCAAGCACCGCTACACCGGGCTCAGGGGGCCTGAGGCTGAGGCAAACAACGGCAGCATGAAGACGTGAAGGGAAGCAAACGGATTAGTATTATTTTTATAGTGTATCATAGCGGCCTCTTGAACGTCTCCTCTACAGCGCTAGCTTCCCCCAGTTAAGAAGAGGTACAAGGAGCTGCGCATACACCTCCTATATCGTATCTCCTCTCGAGATATGGGGAGATATCACAGACCGGAGGTGCGTTTGTTTGTCTTGATTGTAAAGCTTGTTAGCAAGAAGAACCCGTTGAATTGAACAGGCACATTAAAGGGTTTATGAATGGGTTCAGGGTTTAGGCTTTAGGGTTTATGTGTGAGGTTTCGTGAGAATGCTATTATTGCTGCACGCATACCCGCATGCACACGTGCATGGATATCCCCTGCTCTGCTCTTCTCCATGCATGCATGCAGACATGCTGTTATTGTTGATGTTATGCATCAGCACAATAACGTAGATACATGCATGCATGCATAACATCAGCGCAAAGTACATGCATGCATGCATGGATGAATATATGTTGTTTTTGTTGTTGTTGTGTTCGCAGCATGATATTATCTACAACTCCGTGCCCATGCGCAGCGGCCCTACGTCAGGCGTTCAATGCTGCATTGCGGGTATTAGTAGATCGAGGGGTGCGTAATCAGTTGCTGTTGAAGTACAAGCTACCCCTATCGTTTGCTGTGGAGCTGCAAGGAGCCCCTCCCGCCTGGCCGAGGTATAAGGATTTATCTGAGCATGATCTTCTACGTGAGGTTCTTGAAAGGCGTGTCTTACGTGTAGCTACAGTAGCAAGAGGGGCCTCTCACGACCCTGCAATGGCATCTTTTAATAGCAGTTTCTTGCGGGAGATTGTAGATGAGATTGATTCGCACTACAGCGAAGCTGAAGGCCTCCAAGAAGCAACCACAACCAGCAGCAGCAGCAGCAGCAGCAGCAGCAGTAGCGGCAACAGCAGCAGCAGCAACAACAGGAGGGGTTCTTTACCTATTCAAATTGAATACGTGTTTAAGGCGTCTACGGCGGTAGCTCTACAGGCTCTTGATGCTGGACAAGCGCATATGACAGATATAAATATGGTGCTGAGTCAGAATCCTTTCAATGGGCTAACGGGGTCTTCTCGTTATAGTAGATCAGAGCAGGTAATAACTCAATCTACAGTAGTTATTGTTCGTGGCGACGCCAACATTGCAAGTTTGCATGCATTAAGAGGGGCTATATTTCTTTCAGAAGATCAGGAAAGCCGCACCGTAGTTGTAGACAGCCAGTGGAATCATCAGAGTCTTGCGCGTGTGCTTCCTCCATATACTATTTATGAATTGCTTTCTGAAGGAGTGCCTGGGTCTCAGCTTATAGATGTGCTCCTCGATGAAGAAGCTCTTGCTGCTACAACACAAATGCCTCTCCCGTGGGTTCATTACGGTCTTCGCCAGTTTGTTGCTGGAGCTACATATGCAACGGGTGCTTTCTTTCTAATGGATCGTCATGGAAGCAAGTGCCCTACTGCAGCAAGCGCGAAAGCTGCTGCTGCTGCTGCTGCTGCCGCTGCACCTCCCCGTTCAGAACATATTTCAGGAGATAAACCAGGAGAAGATCCTGCTCTATCTTCTCTGCGTCGGGAGTTAACAAAGAAAAGCGTTACATTTCAGCGTCCTCATTTACTTAGCGGCCGCCCTAAACCCGTATGGGATAGCGGCAGCTTTCCTGGAGAGGGGCCCCTGGGGGCCCCCCTTGTAGGAGAAGATTCATATCCTGCTACTCCGGGCCCTTGGACAACTGAACCCTCTACTCCTGTGGGTGAGACAGATCTGTTTGATAGTTTAAAGATGAATTCCTTAGAGCCTCTTGCCTCTGGTCGTCGCTACATACGGACGAGAAGTCTACAGGAAGCTTATAATGCTGCACTTGTGCAATTGGTAAATACTTCTGTATTGGATGGGTTGATAGAAGATTTACAAGAAATTAATATTGTGCCTTTCTTTGACTGTGGAGGAACAGTACCGGGCTCTGTTTCAGGAAGCTTTCCTCTCCCGCATCGTATCCCAGCAGATGATGCATTGATGGATATTCTAAGAACAGGGGTGGTCTTAGTAGGCATGCCAATAGAGATGCGTGCAGCAGCAGTTAGCCCAGAGGTGCTGTATGCACAGAGAGCGACAGTAGAGGTTGTTGCTGCTATAGGAGCAGAATATCATACTACTTTACAAGCACGCTTCGTTCCATTCCCAACGGCGCAACATGTTCTTCGAGCTCTGCATAAAGGCCTTATTCATCTTGCTGATGCACGCGTATTGTTTGAGTATGCGAGCCCGCATGCAAGGCTAGGCTTCAGAGTGAGACCGACATGCGCACTTGGGGCTGCACGCCTATGGATGGTATCGCAGAACAAAGAAGGGATGACATCTCTTGAAGAGCTTCATGAAACATTAGATAAGCTGCCTGATAGCAGCGACAAGAGAGTAGGGGTGGTGGAGCAGCATCTTCAGAACACTGTCTGCAGCGTTCTACCCTCTGGTGTTGCTGTTCTCGTACTAGGGGTAGAAGAAGCAGCAGAAGCTCTTCTATCTCGTGCTGTTGCTGCTGTCTTCGGGATGGCTACGCAGCAGCGTCGCCTTCTTCGCTCTCTCCTCCACTTAGAAAAGAAGATGGCGGAGCGAGAAGAACGCCCGTGGGAGAAGACAACACCGGACAACAGCACTGCAAGCAACAGCAGCAGCGGCGGCGGCAGCAGCAATAGCAGCACTAACACCAGCAGCAGCAGCAGCAGCAGCAGCCAAGAGGCCAAACAGGATGCACCGAAAGCAGCGACGCCGTATGGATCCCCTGGGAGCCGATCCCCAGTTGGCGGCTCCCCAGAAGCCAGCAACAACAGCAGCAGCAGCAGCAGCCGCCCTTCTAGCGAGCGCTACGACAATCTAAGTGAAGATGGTTCTGGGGGGTTTTCTTGGCCTATGCTGGCGCCTTCTTTGCAATATACAAAAGATATTTTTCAAGAGCTAATGAAAGCAGAAGGGCTCCCTCTAGAGACACCAGAAGCTCCGCAGCAAAGTGCAGCCTCCTGGATTGATGTAGACACTGGAGTAACAGCTGTTGTGCATTCTTTCTTTGCGGCCTCTCTGCGTCCCCCTAGATCTTCCCAGCAGTAGACAAAGGCAATAACGAAGGTTTAGGGTTTAGGGCTTAGAGGCGCTCAACAGCTTGCTGCAAATACACAAAACAAACTATCTATTAACCCTTCCTACCAGCGCAGGGCCGCCTACGCAACTCATAGAGGTAAAGCTAGCTGCGCTAGCTGTGCTAGCTGCGCTAGCTGCTTATGGGGGATGCAACAGCTGAGGTACAGCTAGCTGAGCTAGCTATCAGCGTCTGGAGGTTGCAGCCGCTGAGGCATAGCTAGCTGAGCTAGCTAGCTAGCTACGTCTACAGGCTGTGAGGGGCCTCTAGACAACGGGCATCGAACTGCTCGTTATAATTAACACCACTTGCTGAAGCCAAAGGAGAGCACAGAGACAAACTCAGGCGACTGTCAGCTTCAACAGCACCGCCACCCCTCATAAGATCTATATATTCATGTATATATTTATATATATATATTTATATTTATACATATATTTATATATATATTTATATATATTTATATGTGTATTGATTAATGCTTATTTATTTGTGACGTATTTGTACGTTTTCGTCTTATTTGTAAATCTTGATTTTCTTCTTTTGTCTTTCTTCACTTTGCCGCTGCACTGACATGAAAATATTAAAGCCAGGTGAGCGCGGGGTGGCTGTTCTGTGCTCATACAAATGATTAAATAGTCTTTAAAGTCTTGTGGAGGCATTTAAATAGACAAACACTCTGCTGCATCCTTTCAGGGTGCTATCTGCCTGTAGTTGGGGCTGCAGCTGCATGCGCCGCTCCTTCTAAAGGCTCACAAAGAATATGAATTGATTTTAAATTCTTTTCTATGGGATAGATTAAACGTATTGCCTTCAGTAGACGATGTCGTACACACTTATCAGCACCCGTAGAGACACCAGAAGCATAACAAAGCATACAGAACATCTAACATGCCTCTTAACTTAAGCGAGTTGTTTCTCGTTTTGCCCTGCTTTGGCTTCACTTAGTGTTGGTGGTGCATTCACTCTCCTGTCAGTTATCGTAGCTAGCTCAGCTAGCTGTACCTCAGCTAGCTGCTGCAGCCTGTAGACGTAACTAGCTCAGCTAGCTGTTCTTTCGCAGCTGCAACCTCCCTAGGTAGCTAGTTCAGTGCAGAGGAATCTACACATCTTTAAGAGAGAGCTACGGGGCCTCCAGCTGCATATATACAGAAGAAAGCAAAGCTGGTTTAAATGCAGCTCGAGATATTTCTTTTGGGGGAGACTTTGCCGGGGTGTATATACAGTTGTCGTATTCACTCTAAGGGCATTTAACAGACATTTCGTGCAGAAAGACTCTGTACATACACTCGCGGGGCGCGGTGTATTTCTTATTCTCTATAGAGATTCTCAGCTATGTGGTGAATGTAAGCGGCGTGAGGCCCTGGTCTTGCGGCGTCTGTACACCGCATTGAGGTGTCTGTACACCGCAAAGCGGTGTCTGTACATCTCATTATGGAGTCTGTAAACTACCTTTGCTTCTGCTTCAAATAGAATAGCTTTAAGGTCCTCGTAGGCTTCAGAAGGCGTAAGTGCAGCCCCTTGCAAAATATGAATGAAGTGAGTGAACAGTGCGCAGCTCAGGTGTACAGACACCTCAACATTCAGAGCAGAATAGAGCCGCTGCAGCATATTAAGCAGCTGTCTATCTCTTCGTTTTGGGGTTTGCTGCTGCTGCTTCGAAGGCGTCACAACAAAACAAAAGAAGAAGGGCCCCCCAGTAGGCGACTATGTTCACTCGTTGCTGCTGCATGCGCATGCACGAGCGGCGCATGCTGCGAGAGTGAGAACAGATGAGGAGAAGCAGGATGCAGCTGCTGCGTCTGCAGCATCTGCTGCTGCTGCTGCAGCTGCTGCAGCTGCTGCATGTGCTGCTGCTGCTGCTGCTGGAGTGGGGTTGTTACAGAGAAGATTAAAGCGTCTGCTAGCCTCCGCCGCTGCATTGTTGCTTCTGTAGAGTTATCTGCTGCTCCTAAGGGGTTGAGTGTTGCAGTTGTCTGGTTATCTCCTGGTTCTGCTGCTGCAGCAGGTGCAGCGGCAGCAGCTGCAGCATCAGCTGCATGCAGCGCCTCCCCCAGCAATGCATGCGCAGACGGGGCTGTTCCTTGCTCACCCCACAACTCCCACTCTGCCAGTCGCGCTCCCGTAAGCCCGTCTTCAAATAAAACCGTAGCTGAGGTGCAGCAGCAGCAGCAGCAAGCAGCAAGACAGCAAAGCACAGCCGCTACACAGCACACACTGGCCTTCTCCTTCTGCTGCTCCTGCTGCTGCTGCTGCTGGTGTTGGTGCTGGTGCTTGCTTCTGCATGCATGGATACTAGTACAGGTGCATGTATGCGAGGGTGTTCGATACAGCAGCATCAGGAATGAAGTGTAGATACATCTGTATGCATGCATGCATGCATGCGAAGAGGTGCGTATACACCCGAAGCCCTCACTAGCAGTCATAACAAGCTTTCTATTTGCAGAAAGATATAAAGTGGCGGTGCTGCGCGCTCTGCTCGCCTCCCAGCCAACGACATCGAAACCCGCAGAATCAAACGCCTGTACAAACAGCGTTTGTCTGTTCTTCTTTCTATGCAACATTTAATAACTAATATATATATATATGTATATATATAATAGAGAGAGTATATAACATATAATAAATAGTATGTATTGTATTATATATATATATTATATTATAGAGACTATACACTATAATTTAGATACAGTAGAGATGTAGTGTATACGGCACCAAATATGATATATAATATGTCATATATAATATCTGCTATATAATTTAAAATAAATAATATATTTTATGAAACGTATAATATATAATAAATAATATATGATATGTAATATATAATAAATAATAGATAATACGTAGTACACATAAATATATATATCGGGCAGTCTGTATGCAGCTAAACCCTAAAGCATAAAGCCTAAACCCTGAACGGTAAACCCTAAGCCTCTCTTAATCAAACATGAAGAAGAAAACAACAACAAAAGAAGAGAGAGCCCAACTGACTGTAATAAGTACAGACAGAGGACGCGCCAAGGCCTCCCCCAGAGTTGCTGCTAAACCCTAAACCCTAAACCCTAAACCCTAAACCCTAAACCCCCTTATTGAAAAATGAAGAAAGCAGCAACAAAAGACAGAAAAGGGAGGCTGACTGACTGTAATAAGCACAGACAGAGGACGCGCCAAGGCCTCCTCCAGACTTGTCGCGGGTTCAGCCGGAATGATATGAATGTTGCGAGTCAGCGCTACACCCACACAAGCAAACCATAAACCCTAAACCCTAAACCCTAAGCTTGTGATGGCACTTTGTAAAGACTGAGAGAACGAGAGGGCTTCAGGCACAGCGTAAGAAGGAATTTGAAGATGCGTGTTATATATATATATATAGATGCGGGTTATATATATATATA